ATCAAGTCGCTTGTCACCTCCCAGTTATTGTGCCCAGCCGGACTGTGGCACTGCAGGAATACAAAACCCCATCTGAAAATTCATATGGAATCTTAAGGGGCTCCCCATCACCCAAATAATATTGAAAAAGAAAAGAGAGTTCATATTTCCAATTTCAAAGTTTAACTACAAAATCACAATACAGTAAACTGACCAGTGTAGTAGCGTCGTAAGGACACACACATGGGCCAATGGAATGGAATAGAGGTTCTAGAAATAAATCCTAATAGATGTGGTTGATTCAATAAAGAAATGATACTGGAGAAAATGGACATCAACATACAAAAGAAATTATGAAATTACATATATAAAATTGCACTGAAGTAAATAAAAACCCTAAACTTAAGAACTAAGACTATGAAACTGTTAGAAGAAAACACTTAGGGAAAAAATCTTTATGACATTAGATTTAACAACAATTTTTTGGCTATGACACCAAAAGCACAGGTGACAAGAAAAATATAAGTTGGACTTCATCAAAATTAAAAACTTTTTTGCTTCAAAGGACACTATAAAAAGAATATAAAGACAACCCACAGAATATGAGAAAATATTTGTAAATCGTAGCTGATGAACAGTTAATATTCGGAATACCTAAAGAACAACAATTCGGTAGTCACAATATCACAACCAATTGAAAAGTGGGCGGTGGACTCAAACAGACATTTCTCCAAAGACGGTATGAAAAGGCCAATAAACACATTTGTAAAGATGGTTATTGACTCTTAGGAAAATGCAAATCAATATTTAAAGATGACATTTCATATCCAAAAAGATGGATATTATCAAACAGACCAAAAATAACAAGGATTGGTGAAGATGTGGAGGAATTGGGATTTGGGGACTTAGGGAATGTTAAAGTGGTATAGCCACTGTAGGAAACAGGCAGTTCCTCAAAATGTTAAATATCAAATTACCAAATGATCCAGTAATTCCAATTTGAGGTGTACACTCCGAAGAATTGAAAAGAGATATCTGTATAACAACATTCATAGAAATATTAACAATAGGCAAAAAGTAGAAAAAACTCAAATGCCTACCAGGAAATGAATGCATAAATAAAATGTGGTATATATATATATATACAATAGAATACTATGCAGTCAGAAAAAGGAATTCTGATACATGCAACAATATGCACAATCTTTAAGTATTATTGAAATTAGCCAGATACAAAAGGACAAATAATATGTGATTCCACTTATTTGAGGTGTATATTATAGGGAAATTTATAGAGACAGAAATAACCTTATCAGGAGTTGGAGGGTGGGGGAAGTGGAGTCTTATTATCTAATGGGTACAGGGGTTCTGTTTTGGACAATGACAATTCCTTGAAATAGTGACAAAAAAAACTATATGAATATACTTAAAGCCACTGAATTGTACCATTAAAAATGGTTACGATGTAGCCGGGCACAGTGGCACATGCCTATAATCTCAGCAACTCAGGAGGCTGAGGCAGAAGGATCACGATCAAATCCAGCCTCAGTAATTTAGCAAGCCCCTAGGAAGCTCAGCGAGACCCT